TACTTCAAGGTGGGCGTCAAGCCCTACCTGGAGACAAATTGGAGCCAGCCCACCTGCGTAGATGACGTGCAGGCGCTGATGCGCGCCGCCGCCGCCCAGGGCCCGGAGGCGCCCAAGGCGGACCTGGCGGCTTCCAAAGAGAAGCAGATCGCCGCCCTGCTCAAGTACGTCGATTGGGCGCAGGAGAAGGGCCAGGACCAGACGCGCGCCTTTGCCCTCTTCCGCTTCCACGTCTGGTTCGACGGCTACGACCGCGGCAAGCTGGTGACGCCCGTCTACTCCGACGTGGCGGTCACCATTCAAAAGTGGCGCTGCGACCAGGGCATCAAGCTCTACATCCTCTCCAACGGCTGGACCGAGGCGACGAAGAAGTTCATGGCGAAGACCAGTCACGGCGACCTGAACCTCCTCATCGAGGAGCACTNGCTCTACATCCTCTCCAACGGCTGGACCGAGGCGACGAAGAAGTTCATGGCGAAGACCAGTCACGGCGACCTGAACCTCCTCATCGAGGAGCACTTTGACTCGGAGCTGGGCCCGCTGACCGCCCCCGACACCTACGGAAAGGTGCTGGAGAAGATCGGTCTCGCTACCGCCGATGTGGTCTTCCTCACGAAAAGTCCCGAAGAGGGCAAGGCGGCCAAGGACGGCGGACTGAATGTGATTCTGGTGTTGACACATCGGCAGAGCGTCGACCAGGCGCTGGCTCTCTGCAAGGAGATCCCCATCGCCCGCACCTTCACCGAGATTGAGTTCATCTGATGAAGGTCTCTTTGTGGTGGTGTTGTTGTGATTGTTCAATCAGAATCTATATTTTTAAGGGGGAAGCACTTCTAGATGCTTCACGCACAGATTTTTACATGATACCGAGTCGGAGCTACATCTCATCATTCTCCATCATCCTTCTTCATCATCTCTAGACGTCATCGACGTAGTCGGCGGGGTTCTTGCGGCTCAGGCGCTTGTTCTCCTCGTTGCCCCAGGTGTAGAGGAGGTAGCCGAGGACGGCGGGCGGCGCCGCGTAGGGAAAGTTGTTGCTAAAGTCGCGTCTAAAGCCGCGCCAGGTGCTCTCGAGAAAGTGCGGAAAGATCTTCTGCTCAAAGGGCGACATTCGCACGTAGATGACGTTGCGCACGAAGGCGAGGTTGCCGAACTTCAGGTGGCCCATGGCTGGCGTTTGGGTGTGTGATTCTAAGATTTGGAAGAAAGAGTGGTGTGTTATTGATCGCTGTCGTTTGTCGAGGTGATCTAGACTGCTGCTTACCCAAAGTTGAGCGAGTCAGGAGAAGAGAGGATGCGATTGTAGAGGGAAAAAATGGCGTTTTCTTAGAATATAACAGTCTAGGCTCTCGACCTCGGTGTTCTTACCTCAAAGTTGTGAAGATCGAGACCAGAGAAAGTTGTTGGCGGAGACCAGAAAAGAAGGAAATCAGCGGATCGGCGATTTGCTGCTACTGCTGCTGCTGTGCTCTTGTTGTTGTCCTTCACTATTTGCAGAGTGCTCTCGCTCTCGTGGACCTCTCGTAAGGTACGTGACTGGTTGCCATCGGTGCAGCAAAGCGAGCAACGCTGAGCGGATTTCTATTTCTCCGTCGAATATTCTAATTCTCATTTTATTTCATTTCATTTCAGGTTCTACAAATGCACAAAAGACCGGACAAGAAACATGAAAATCATCCTCCGCCTCTTCAGCACTTTGGATAGGCAGGCCCAGTGCCGCAGACGGGCAGCGGCTGGCCGACGGCGTTGAAGACCCACCGATCCAGCGGCAGCGTGCCAAAGTCGCTGAAAGTCAGGTAGAGGTACTTGAGCGTGGCGCCGAGGAACTCCGCCGGCTGGTAGTCGGTCAGGCGGTTGTCCTCGTAGTCGACATTGGCCACCTCGCTGAAACCCGTCCCCCCGCTGCCGAAGCCGACCCGAGCGGTGGCGTTGATCGCCAGCACCAGATTCCAGGCCCGGGCACGCCATAGCGGCTTGCGCGTCAGCCGCCAGAGGGTGAAGTACGACTCGGCCAGCTCGGGACTGAGCACGCCTCGGCGGTCAATGTCGCGGCCGGCCGTGCCGCGGAAGACCACCTCAGCCGCTGGAAGGCCATGGGGAACGATGGAAGAGGCGGTGGTGGTGGCATTGCTCGAAGAGTGATTTCCAGCAGCAGCCGTCGTCGGCACGTTCAAGTGCAGCTTCACGCAGCTCTCCACCAGCGCCTCCGCCAGCCTGATCTTACCAGCCAGCGCCAGCGTGGACGCCAGCTGACAGGCGCCCACCTTCATGATGCCCTCCCCGGCGCGGGCAGCGTAGTCGACGTCCTCCACAGTGACCAGGCCGCTGGTGGCGTTCTCCACGAGGACGCCGTGCCGCCGCGCCGCCGCCAGCCCCTCCGCCAGCATGCCCATCGCCTGCAAGTCGCCGCCCGCCGTCTGCTTGCTGGAGCGCACCAGATAGCCGAAGAAGTGGTGGGCGTCGTTGGAGAGCGACGCCAGCCGGGACTGAATCGCAAAGGCGCTCTCCAAAGTCAGCAGGTACAGGCCGTTGGACGAGCTGCTGCTCACCAGCTTTCGAAGATGCTCGAGGACGGCGTTCCAGTCCGATTGGGCGGTCTGGTTGGTGGTGAGAGCGGCCAGGTAGCGCAGCTCCAGCGTCATGGCGCCCAGCTCACCGATGAAGCCCATCCGGTTTGGCGCTGAAGAGCTGGCGTCCGAGAAGTTGAGGTCAATGCGGTTGAAGGGACGGTCTGGTAAGTAGTAATTAGAAAAAAGTAAGTCATCATTTCAAATGTTGTTTACAATTAAAGACGCACTTACCTTCACTTTCAAAAGCAGGCCGGACGACCTCGCCAAAGGCCACCGCCTTCTCCAGCAGCGCCCGATCGGTGGTGTTCAGTGCGTAGCAGCTCAGCAGCGAGCCGATGTACCGCGTCACCAGTGGCCAGACGTACAGTGGCTGACTATGCCGACC